CCTTGGCATATGTAAATGATTCTTAAGGAATGATATGTGGCCCTTCGGAACATATATGTATTCTTTGGAACATGTATGAAGTCTGGTGAGACACATACTTGATCCCTAGTATATGTATATGATTCTTAAGGAATGATATGTGGTTCTTATGGACATTATTATGCGGCACTACGGTGCAATTCTATGCGGCACTACGGTGCAATTCTACGTGGCACTTCGGTGCATTTATATGAGCTGTGGTGACAGCATTAGTGCACAACCCTCCATAGACTCACATATCTATAGTTCTCACATATGTACATGGTCTAATCAAGAGATATAAACAAATATATGTTAGTGATATGATAAATGTTATAGAAATGATATGATGTTGTGTGTGTATAGTGTTTGATTGAAAAGGTTAAGCATAAAAGTATGTGATTACATGATAAACTGTTAATGATGAGTTATGTGTATGTATGTATTTACTGTAATTAATCTGATATGATTTTATATGATACGAGGAAATCATGTAATTTGGTATAACGTGATAGAACAGAACATGCATGTATTGATATATGTTATAAAGTGCATTATAAGTTTTTATGCCTCACTAAGTCTTCGACTTAGCGTGTGATTGTTTCACACGTAGGGTACATAAGCAAGAAGAGAAGAGAAGAAGAGTAAGACAGGTCAGCACCTCCCTTACAAAATTTCAGATCAGAAAATAGAGGATTTAAATGTTTTTGGTTATTTTGAGTATAGTTGGCATGTACTAATTGGTTGAATTAAATATGCTCTGATTGATTTTGGTTATTGTGGTCAGTTTATGTAACTAAACCTCTTTTACTTTAATGAAATGTTTTAAAAATTCTTTGAATTTTATCAAGAGTCAAAGTTTGAAAAGTCAATGTGACACCTCAGACTCGTATCCGGGTCGGGTACGGGTTAGGGTGTTACAAAGAAGTACATCATTTTTTATACATTCTAGTTCGTCGAAAACCGAAATAAAATCAAAATGGATTGGTTCTTGGCCAAACCTAGTGAGTAAGAGACATGGGCGTGGTTAGAGCAGTTGTTAGATCATTAGACTCATGAATAGAGTATATCTATCAATTGTTGCCATTAAGAAGCAGAAAAATAGGTATAGAGCAGTGGTTAGATCATTGTACTCATGAATATTCAGATGGGGTGTTTGAGGGTGTCACGAGCTTCGTTGAGCTTCGTCAATCCGATCACATAAATGTCTTCTTGGTTGTTTGCAAGTCTGTTAATAATGGCTATAACATCCCCTTCAATAATTACATTATTCCATTCATCTCCAATGCATGTGACATGTAATACCAAGATGCAACACATATCAAATTAATTATCAAAGAGAAACTTAATTGAGGGGATGTCTAAGGAATGTAGCCTTGAAATGTTAATATTTTTTTAACATTTTCGGTAGAACACTACTTAAAATGTTATTTTTTCTACCGGAAATATTAATATCGGGTGCTACCTAAAATATTATTTTTTTTCTACCGGAAATGTTAATATCAGAAATATTCATTTTAGATAGCGAAATTAACGTTTTCTGTAGAAAAAAAAATAACATTTTAGGTTGCGCTATACTGGAATTGTTAAAAAAATATTAACATTTCTGATAGTGTCTTTCCTTAGCCTTATATTAAGCTGACGTACAACAGAACCACTCTAATTGAGGAACAATAAAAAAGAGTGTACTTCAAATATCATTATTGAATCTTAATAATACACCGAAGACGTCAACGAGAAAACACATAATAATGCCGGAATACTTATTACACGTCGACAACACACACATACTAGGGTAAATTATACGTTTAGTACCTAAACTATTAGTTTTAGTACTTAAACTTTCAATTTTTTCAAAATCATGCCTAAAGCCTATTTTTTTCATTTTAGTACCTGTTCAAAATTTAATGTTAAGTTTTGAAAAGAAATTAAAAGTTTATGTACTAAAACGGACCAAAATTGATAATTTGGGTACAAAACACATTAAGTTTTTTAATGGTGGGGTACTAAATTGAAAAAAAACTAACTGTTAGGTATAGTTTTGATTTGTTTTTGAAAAATTAGATACTAAAACGGATCAAAATTAATAGTCTAAGTATTAAATACGTAATTTGCCCTATATTTTAAAATAGAGACATAGGAACACACAAGGATTATTAATAACTAGACAATAAATTTATCAGAATGGAGACAAGGAGAAATAGATACGGAGCTAAAATATTGAAGAGAAAATAACCTCAGTGACCGAAAATGCCTTGTAATATACGATTTTGACAAACTTTTTTTGGATTTGCCAAAATGACCAAGTAAATCGCAATGCGATCGATAATTCGCAACGCGATCTCCGGTATCGCAAATCAGTTTCCAAATTCGTAACGCGATAGTCAAAGTTCGCATTACGATTTATTCCAAATTCGTTGCGATAGGCGAAGTTCGCGTTGCGATTCATTCCAAATCGTTGCGATAGTCGAAGTTCGCGTTACGATTCATTCCAAATTCGTTGCGATAGTCCAAATATTGCATTTGTTTCTTAAGAATTTTCTCTAAAAAGATAGAATTCGCGCGGACGTGTCGAATACACGTATTACCACGACCACGACCACGACCCGACCCGACCCGAGACGGGACGGCGGCAGCGACGGCGCGCGAGAGTCCCCCTTGTTCTCTATCACTCAACAAGTGGGAAAGCCAAGTCTTAAATATCATTCCCAATAGTGTTTCCAATACTATGTGGGATTGAGCATTAACAACACTTGTTTCCAATACCATTACCTTCATTGTTGTAAGAGTTTAATTTTGAAACTAAAAAAATATTTATTCGAATAAATAACTTACCCTTTGAAGACTGTGATCATAAATGAAGTAATTGCTAAAACTAACTCTGATTCGGGTTCTTATAGTGTTCAAATGACTTACTTGCAAAGAGTAGATGATGACCAAACAACTCGATATGTTTCCTTTGTGTCATTATCAGCTAGTTTTCGTAGCATCCTCAGTTGAAAACTTCCATCATTGTCTCCTTTGCATTTATTTGGTTAATATTTTTCTTCCATCAAAGTCCTCAAAGGGTAAGTTATTTATTCGAATAAATATTTTTTTAGTTTCAAAATTAAACTCTTACAGACAATGAAGGTAATGGTATTGGAAACAAGTGTTGGTAATGCTCAATCCCACATAGTATTGGAAACACTATTGGGAATGGTATTTAAGGCTTGGCTTTCCCACTTCCTTGTTGAGTGATAGAGAACAAAGGGGACTCTCGCGTGCTGCCGTCGCCGCCGTCCCGTCTCGGGTCAGGTCGTGTCGTGTCGTGGTCGTGGTCGTGGTAATACGTGTCTTTGACACGTCCGCGCGAATTCTATCTTTTCAGAGAAAATTCTTAAGAAACAAATGCAATATTTGGACTATCGCAACGAATTTGGAATGAATCGCAATGCGAACTTCGCCTATCGCAACGAATTTGGAATGAATCGCAACGTGAACTTCGCCTATCGCAACGCGAACTTCGCCTATCGCAACGAATTGGAATGAATCGCAACACGAACTTCGACTATCGCAACGATTTGGAATGAATCGCAACGCGAACTTCGCCTATCGCAACGAATTTGGAATAAATCGCAATGCGAACTTCGACTATCGCGTTACGAATCTGGAAATTGATTTACGATACCGGAGATCGCGTTGCGAATTATCGATCGCATTGCGATTTACTTGGTCATTTTGGCAAATCCAAAAATCGTTGGTCAAAATCGTATATTACAATGCATTTTCGGTCACTGAGGTTATTTTCTCTATATTGAAAGCTTGAGAATTAATATATAAAATTTAGAGAATCATGCACTAAGGTAAATAAAATTATGACCGTTGATCTGCATATAAGATTGATTTTATGCATGGTTATTATGACCACAGAATACACCTGAATCATATATTACGTGACTTGTAACAGTTTGATAAATATGTAATAATTGGATACGTAACTTTCAACTTTCTATTTCGGGATGGACTTACTATGCTATTTAATTATTTTATTATATGATAATTAATAACATCAAACTTATATAATATCTAATGAACATTAATGTTTTTGATAAAATGTTTTCTATCAATAACGTAAATTATATATTTAGTACCTAAATTATCAGTTTTTGTCTGTTTTAGTACTTAAACTTTCATTTTTTTTAAATCATACCTAACGTTTAACTTTTATTTCGCTTTAGTATCCGTTGTTAAAAACTTAAAGCGTTTAATACCTAAACTATCAATTTTAGTTCATTTTAGTACCTAAACTTTTAATTCTTTTCAAAACTTAACGTTATATTTTGAGCGGGTACTAAAATGAATCAAAAACTAAATTTTCAACGACGGGGTACTAAAATGAAATAAAAACTAAACTTTAGATATGATTTTGAAAAAAATGAAAGTTTAAATACTAAAATGGACTAAAACTGATAGTTTCGGTACTAAACACGTAATTTAACCCAAGCAATATTTTAAAAGGATTAAAATAAATTTTAAAAACATTTCAAGGACCTAATAACAAATTTCCAAGTTTTGAGGGGGTCATGATTAGGGATGGGCATGGGACCTAAACCCAACAGGTTCCGACCCGTCCCTACCTGATCGGATCGGGTTTTTTTAAAAAAAAACAGGTTCGTGTCAAGTCTAGGTTTTTAAAGGTGATGTTCGGGTTTAGGGTGAAAAATATCTGACCCGACCCAGAATTTTTTTTACCTTATATATTTATGAATAATTACAATAATACCTCTCAATATATTATTTGTTTCAATTAAATCACAGTTTTTACTGAATAAAAATAATATTTTTATTATTTCAAATGTTATAGGGTTAGGTTCGTATCTAGTGGAAGATATATATTTTTCGAATCGAATTAGATCAGATGAGAAATATAAATTTTTCAGACAGGTCGGGTGGACTAAAACCCGACACATGTCCGTCCCTAGTCAAGATGCCCCTTTAGTTCCCATTACGTCCCGCCGTTGAACCGTACAAACACGAAGAAGATAATGGTATGGAGTTTCAGTTTACAGTGGAAATCATTTTTTTCCAGTTCACCTCCACAGCCATCATCTTCAAGAAAATAAAAACTCCATTTTTATCAAATTATCAACCAAACAACAATTGAATAGAAAGTATTTGCGAATTAAAACCCGAAGAACAAGAAAATGTCTGCTTTTCATGTCTCAAAGTTAATCATCACTACGCATGCCTCATCGACTCATACGAAATTCCCCTGTTTTTCACTTTTCCGGAAATCCCTATCGTTTCCCAACTCAGTTCCTCGATCTCAAAGGAGAATCGCAACCTTTGTTTCTTCGAAATCGTCGGAAGCCGGAGAGTTGCCTACGGCGGAAGATGACTGGCTCAGCAGGCTCCCGGAGAGGAACAAACCCCTGTACTCTCACGGCTTGCCCTGCATTGAAGCATGGCTTGGGAGCTTAGGGTTTTATCAAAGCAGAGAGGAGCGTGCTGTTTGGTTGATTGAAAAACCTGATTGGCATGCCCAGTTATCTCTCGATGTCACTGATCTTTACGTAAGGTAAACCGATGGATTTTAGCTGTTTGATTTGAGATGGGTTTCTTTATTTAGATCGATTGTTAACTGGGTTTTGAGAATACTTTTAGATGGTGTAAAATTGGTACTTCTGCTAAATTAGAGTACATTAAAAAGAAAGGGAAGAAATTTCGTTGGTACGATTGAATTACAAACATTATGTCATTTCTAGGGATTAAGATGAGTTAGCATATAAGTTTCTAAACTGTAGGTATTGCATCTCTAATTACACTAAGAAGATTCCTTTAAATAATTGTGGTGATTGATGTGAACTACTAGCAAACGGGGTTGATAATTACAAAATTTAGTTGACTTGATCAAGTTCCATTGAGTTAGACAGAATGGCATTCGAATGCCGTGCCGAATCGAGAATGATTGGGACAAAGTTTGGAAGGTATAGTCATTTCCACCTACAAGTGTTACCTGGATTGGTGATCACAATCATGCTTCTTGGTTGCAAATCCATCTTAGAGTTCGACTTATGAAGCGAAAAAAATCTTGAATGTCTCGTTTTAAGCATAAATTAAGAGAGCGGGATAGAAGTCCAGAAAAGAAGATATGTTGGAAAATCGGTGCTATTAGTTATAGAGAGTGAGCAAAAGATTTTGGATGTTAACTAGTAACTATATGAAGCTTTTAGAGGAGGCTTAATTCTTTCCAGACCTTGCCACCTTGGTGAAAATCGAATTCTTTTTCTTGTGTACATTGGTTCTCGGGTTCGATCTAGCCATATCTTCTTCTGATACAATCTGTTATAAAGAACCATTTCTATTTACTGAAATTCATTAAGACCTGTAAACGCATTCAAATTTATTGCATTTGGTTGCTTGATGATCTCGGTGGGGGAAAGTTGGAAGGAAATGAATAAAAAATGAGTGAAAAGTGTTGCACATCGTTCTTCTCAACTTTATCCGAATTTTTATCTTTTATTTGGCTAAGAAGATTGTGTTATATGCTGCAGGTACTTGAAGAATGGACCTGGGAATCTTGAAAGAGACATCGAAAGGCGATTCAGTTATGCATTGAGTAGAGAGGATATCGAAAATGCAATACTTGGAGGACCATAAAGACGTTGAGTTAGTTCCTCCTCATGTATAACTTTCAATCAAGCAGTTGCATAGTGTTTAAGATGTCAGTTTATCCACTTCCTGAACTTTGAGGATATCATAGCACTGCAAATTTGCAATCTAATGATATTGTGATGCTTGTTTCCCTATCTTCCTAGTTATATTTTATGTTTAAATTCTGTTTTGTGATAATTCCAGCAAACATACTGTACATTTAGTCATCTGTTCCAAAACAGCTCGAGTGTTAGTCAGAGTTATGTACATCCATTTCAGAAAAGGCCTGAAGGTAAGCTCATCCTTCAACAAACGTTATCTTTTTGTACTCTGTTTTTCTTTACAATGCCTCAACATTCAACTTGAGGTTCATTCGGTGAATAGTACCGTAAGTGTCGAGATTCGGATTCTGCACTCGAGTAAATATGGGGTTTTTCTCATTGCTTAGCTTTAAGAATGCAGCTGTATCGAAGTTCCCAATTTAAATCTTCAAAGAAATCAAGAGAGTATCATGCATATATAATAGTTTTCCCATTTCGTTCTCTCTTCTTGCCAGAGTTTTCCTCCAGAGCCAATAAGTAATAGAAGTTGTTCAGATCCCCTGCAGGTGAGACTTACTCGGTCGATTGCACTAGTACAATACCGTCGATCTAATTCATAACTAGACCGAGTTGAAGGTGTTATACATCTAGTTATGATTTCAAGTCTCCAAATTCTTTTTTTAACATTATGAGGTTAATATTTTGGGGACGAACCATTTTTATTTTGTACCCCGAACCCCCTTCACAGAATTTTAATGTTTTTATATATATATATATAATATATATATATATATATATATATATATATATATATTTGTATGCTATTTTGTTTTGATTAAATATATTTTCCTTGTGTGATATCGGATATCGAGTGACAGATGTGACTGCAAAATGCATTGTGCAATTGTTGTCTCAACTTTTGTTGTGCTTGGACTTGGATTGTACACTAGCCTTGTACTTATAAATACAATCATTATAGGATATTATTTTAGTTAGAAAACACTGAAAAATCTTCCTTTAAATGATTATTGGGATATTATATTATAATGATTTTTTGAATTTTTGATTTTTTATATAATTAGCTCAGTTGGTAGAACGCAAAGTTCTTAACCTTGTGGTTGTGGGATCGAGTCTCATGGTGGGCAATTCATAATTCTAACTGCCGGAAGTCTCCCACGGAATCTGCTCTCGACCTGACGTTGGGGGCAGTTATTATCCTACCTCTCCCTTACCCCATTACATATGAGAATAGGGTCAGTTAATTTTTTACATTAGTTTATATGAGTTGTGTTAACCTTAGGAGTAGAGATGCACATAGCCGGATTTAAATCCGATCCGGATCGGATAAAAACCGATCCGGTTTTTTCACCAAACCAAAAAATCGGTTTATAAAAAAACCGGTTCGGATCATAACCGGTTTGGAGGGCCGGATGATGTAACCGGTTTAACCGGTTTCGATTTGAAAAAATCCGGTTTTTAATCCGGTAAAAAATCCGGTCATCCAATTTTTTTAACCCCAGACCGGATTTTTAAACCCCAGACAGGATTTTTTTCCGGATAAAAAACCAGTTTTTTATCCGGTTTTTTTCAAACCGGTTTTTAATCCGATAAAAAATCCGGTCGTCCAATTTTTTCCCAAACCGGTTATACTATCCGGTTTTAAAATATCCGATCCGGTTTAAAAAAATCGATTTTTCTCAAATCCAGTTTCGGATATTTTTTACGTAAAATCGGATATTCGGATTTTTTGTGTACCTCTACTTAGGAGTCACGTTCATCTCACGTTTATACCAATTAGGACAGCTTTACATTGGTTTATACGAGCTGTGTTAACCTTAGGAGCCAAGTTCATTTCATTTCACGATTATACCAATTAGGACAACTTTACATTGGTTTATAGCCCGACACAACTAAATTTGATTTTGATTCCTCTCGAATTATTTTTCGAGTCAATGCTAAATCTTTATTTTGCAGCAATCTTATTTTCCAACAACAAAGCAGGTTGTTGTCCATCACCATTTCCAGGAGTTGGTTAATCAAGGACAGTGAAAAAAGATGATTACTCGTAATAGGATTATGGTTGAAAGAACAAAAATTCTAGGGACTAATTTGTTTGGAGAGAATTGTGCTTTTATCTGCAATCTTTTTGCTTGTACAAAGCATGCCCTTTTTCCTGCTTGTCAGCTTCAAAACTGGTTGTGCATATTGCTCCACAATCCAATCTTCATCTCTTTTCTGTATGTTTGCAGATGCAGGATTTGTGTGCACCCCTGCTAGTCGAGTCGATCGAATTCGATCCCACCATGTCTAATCTCTTTGGCAGTGTTAAAATTTCCGTCTGTTATATAGGCGAAACTGCTGCGATTCTGTACCGTTTACTTCGTCTGGAAAATGTTTTGGATCATCCTCCGAGGTGATTCCTGCGCTGCATAATCTAACTGAAGCAACTCATTAGAACTCAGGCGCCATCCGAGAGCACCCAAATTTTCCTCCGCTTGTTTCACCGTTTTAACTCCAGGTATCGGAACCGTACCTTTACAGATGCACCAGTTTATTGCTACCTGCAAATGGCAATTTGATGAAAACCAATATATTCCATAGATCTACTGGCTTACATATCAACAGTTTTGAAACAAAGTTGACATTAGAAGTACCTGAGGCATGGTTTTGCCTCGTTTTCGTGCAATTTCTCGTAACGAAACGAGCAAGGGCTCTAGTCCTGGAAGGATTTGCTTAAACAGAAGGCTCCTGTGAGGAAATAACAAAGGTTATCATGAAGTAAGCACTCACCTATGCACTGAAAGGAGCCTTCAAATCTCTTTACCATGTATCCCTGAAAGTAATGAACTGAATCATCTCTATTACCTGGGCCCTTGTGGAAGTTTGGACGGCGTATATTTTCCGGTAAGCATTCCGAGACCTAGCGGACTGTAGGAAATCAAGCGGATATCAAGAGAGTCGCAAATATTCTTAATCTCCATCTGTTCTTCTCCCATGCTTAGAAGAGAGAATTGAACCTGCAATCCAGAAAAACCTTCAAATCACAGGAACTACCAAAATACGATACCCACAATGACCGTAATAGCATTTGCTATTCCTGGTGTTCACTGCACGAAAGACAAACATAACAAAATCCAAAATTCCTCCTATCTCTACCTGAGCTGAACATAGTGGGACTCCTCGGGCTTTAAGGTAATCGTGAATCTTTACAAGCTGCTTGGGTCCATAATTGCTAACTCCAACACCTTTGACTAAGCCCTGCAAGTTTTTATCCGGTTCAAGAACGGAAGCTATTCCATCTAAACTACAAAACAAGAACTATGATATGCAAATACAAGATATTCTTCTTAGAATCAAGCTAATTCTAGGACAAGATTTGACAATGCTGACGGGAAAAATTAGTCTCGTAGGCAGTTAGCAGTTCACTTCTTTTGGTTTGGATGGAAAGCTGCAACCGGTGAGATGGTAACCATTAGCTGGTTCAAGAAGATGATTGGTGTAGATGAACATTGGAGGAGAAGGGGAAAAAAACCTCTCTCAATCGCGGCTAAGAGATATTTATAATGACTTTATCTAATGGTGCTAGTCTGCTAGGTATAGGGTCATCATAGGTATTTATAGGTCAATAGCCTAAATAGATCTAATCGCTAGATCTTGGATTTGCCCTAATAGATTACTTGGGCTGTTAGAAATCTTATCCAGGGATCTTGTTCATATATAGTAGCTTATTCAGAGACTAATCTCCAGAGGACATGAATTCCTTAAAAACTCTGATGAACAAAGATGTTTATATTAGAGGTTTTAAAGGATAGATAGATGTTGTTTTCGGTGATGACCTCCGGAGATATAACACACATACCAAAGGCAAATGATGTCTTTCATTTTAAATGCAACTGAAAGGATACATATAACAATGTACAAAGTAATTCATGGTTAACCTTCTCATACATTGCCACTAAACCATTCCAAAGTGCTAACTCTTGTGGGGGAGCATAGTTTGCAGTAGACCAGTGTAACTGTCCGATTCCGATTTTCTCGACCTGCATTCGATCCCGAGACGCCCTGGAAAAGCACTTGTTAATCAAATTACTCATTATTCAAAAGATTTAATCTAATTGAGGTGATAAAGGGGATCACTTATATAGAAGCTATTGAATAAAAAACCTGCAAGCTTGAACAAATTGCCCTGGTGTTAGACGCCATGGGTAAGCCGCAAACTTTGTAGCAATCACAATATCATCCTGTATCCGTTTCCCCCCTGTGATTGCACACAATATATACAAGCTTAAGTATCGAAAAACTATTGACAAGAGAAAGGGGAAATTCAACTTGGATTGGGAAAAGAAATTGACCAACCTGTGAATTCTCGTATGAACTTCCCTAGGAGCTTCTCACTCTGTCCATTGAGTCTTCCAGTCCCATATGAATCAGCAGTATCAAAAAGATTAATGCCACTGTCCACAGCAAGATTGAAGACCTGTTGAAGTTGAGAATCCATGGATGGCTGGTACCCCCAGAGAAGCTGGTTTCCCCATGCCCACGTCCCAAACCCCATCGGGGACACACTCAAAGGACCCATTTTCACCTGCAAAACATGAGAACATACCGACAGAGAAGCTGATTTTTCCATGTTTTGTTATTGAGAATCTGTAGACATGGTTAAAGAGAGTACCTTTTGCCAGGGCCAGAAAAGAGGGGGCTTGAGAGAGTTGAAAGGTGAAGCCGGTGGAGGCAACTGATTGGAAGCAGTGAGACAAATGATGGTGTCTGAGAGCGCCATGGCCATGGCCATGTTTCCACACAGTCCAGTTGAGGAAGATGAATAAGAGTATGGTGCTATAGCCTAGAGTCCGAAAACTGCTTTCTTTTTCGGTTCAATGGAAGAGTGCAGCGTTAGTAATGCATTTTTTGCGGTTGGAATTGGAACTTGTAAAGATCACGCGTTGCCCCACAGTTAGGGATGGCGATTTAAGGATGGATATCCGATTCGATAAGATCGAAATTAAAAAAAAAAAATTGAATATGTATTCGGGTGGACCATATTAAGTTTTTTTTTAAGGGATTTGGCTCCGGTGGAAGGTGAAAAAATTTCGACTCGATCTTGTTCTATCCAGAGATAATAATATAGTTTTTTTAAAAATTTTATTTTTTTAATTAAGTCGTTATCTTATACTAGATCGGGTCTAGTTGAATTTATACATTAAAATTTTGGATCGGGTCTAAATTGGGTATCGTTTAAACACTTATTTTGTATTAAACCTTATGCTTATCACAATCTTATATATATTTTTTTTTGTTTATTATCAATTTATGATTTGTTTGAACTGATCACTCTACAATTTACTAAATTTTAGCTTAATACAAAAATAAATGCATAAATGATACATCGAAAAACGTTTTAGTGTCTACATAATTTTTCGCTAAAATTAAGTGTCTAAAGTTTTCTCCGTTACATAAGTGTTTACCGTTAAGTGATATGTGTTAGTCCATGTTTTTTTAAAAAAAATTAAAAAAAAAATCTAAATGTGACACGTGTCACTTACGGTTTTTTTTTACGGTAGGCATCTAAAAGTGTAATGAAGAAAACTTTAAACACCTAATTTTAAAGAAAAATTCTTTTGGCACCGAAAGTTAATTTTGAATATTGTTTAGACTCTTATTTTTATGTTATTTTTTAAATCTTTTGTGGTTGATTGAAATTTTCTCATTTGTAATTGTGGGCAGGAGTTAATACAAATTGTAAAATAATCTAAGAACATGTTTAGAAGATATAAGATCTAAATTAAATCAGCTAAGTTGTTGTAACTCGGCTAATTAACAAAAAAAATTAATCATTCGAACGTCTTTTTTGACTAAAACTAAGAAGAGAATAAGTTATTAGAGCGTTCTATATAATTATAAAAAAAAATTAAAATATGATGGAATCATAAATTATAGGTTAAACTACAAAAACAGTCACTAATGTTTGATTAAATTTTCATTTTCCCCATTGAAATTTTAAAGCTAACAAATTGGTCACTAACATTAACGATTTGTAATAAATTGGTCGCTAACGTTAAAGATTTGTAACAAATTAGTCACTCGATGTTAACAACCATTAATGTGGGTGACAGAAAGCTGAATTAGACCATTAATCGCTTATCTTGATCATTCATCGATCACCTCTTCAACCCCACCGTCCCTCCACCTCTTGTGATCGTCATCTCTGCTTTCTACTTCACAAAATGGATGGGAAACATGCATGGCTTAAAAAATAAATCTTTTTCATTATTTCTGTAAGAACCAAATCATAATAAATATGAAAACTAACCAGGATCTAATCATGTTAAACAATCAAGAATAAAATAAATACTATATTTACGGAAGCGTACCTGAATTAATTGATAGGTTGAAATCTTTGAGTTTTTCTTTGGTTGTGATATTCCAAGAAGATAGGTTTGCTCTTGCCGTAAAAACTCTCTGACGGGGATAAGAGTAATAAAAGAAAACATATTTCTTGGGGGACCACTACCTCTTTATATAGATTGAATATTAGGTCAATCTTTTAAATATTTATAATTTTGCCCCTTATCAAATTATAAATACAACTTATGGTACCTATACTTTGATTCCATGACACCTTAATACATATAACACATGTAACATAATTGGTCACTTAATTTTGTGTCATATTTTATGATAACATTGTACATTATACATATGTGCCCACAAATATGGATTTTACTCCAACAATCTCTCACTGAGGCAACATATGTTTCTTGAAAAATGTACAACCTTAAGAGCTCAAAATTTGCTATCATAAATAAGTATTTTATAACAATCTCGTCCATCAACTATATCCATATAGGATCAAAGAGACCTTTGCCATATCTATCATGACTAGACCCATCAATGACACATATACAAACATAGTCAAATGACATAGATCAAACATGGAGTGCATCATGAAAATTATATGCAATGTGAACCACACATGTCTATTTCCATCTGGTCCTCTTTAACATTAGTGAGATCAAATTTTACCAAAATCAGAGTGAATAACCCAAAATAAACTTTATTTTTGCTAAAAATAACCTTAAATAAATATCCTTAAATCTAAATAACTGAAATTGTGTTTAAAACAAACGAGCAATTTTAAAGTTACAAACTCCCACTAAAACTGAATATCATTAGGTGATATTACACCCACATGAGTAGTGTGCTCATGAAAGTCCTTGAGCGACAATTCTTTAGTAAGGGCACAATTACGAGTTTGTACTAATATGCTTTATAAACATATAATCACTCTAAATTTTCTTTAACGACCAGAAACATAATGTCTATATGCTTCTACTTAAGGTGTTTCTGTTATATATGGAATAAAGGACTGCAACTTAGTTGTCACAAAAATAACTCAAGTGGTCATTCTTATCAATCCACAATTAACAGTTCATGTGGCAAAAATTTTGCATCCATATTTCAATAAGTCGGAGTCCATAAACTTGATGATCTCTTACTAACTAGACGTCCAATATGTGAGCATGTAACTTTTTTGTTTTTAAATGTATTGTATGAATCAATTTGGTTCCTATCAAACTGTGGAATATTATTATTGATATTATTCATAGAACATTGCTGTTCATTTTTTGGTTTATTCAGTTTTCTTGCAATCTGCAGGAAATGGACAGATCAAAGATGGGACAATCAAATGAGAGAACCATATATGAGGTAAGTCTTTCTAATCTTAAATTTGAATTCTATTCTGAGAATGATGAGAAGTGGACATTGTTGAATACTTATCAAGGTGCAGCATGGAAGACAGCTTGCTGATGTTAACTTCTCTATCACGGCTGATGGGAGTTTAGATGATGACATATTACAGCAGCAAATTCACAATATTACGAGACAAAGAGAAGAGCTCCTGCAGATGGAGGTTAAATTCCGAGCACAGGCAATTGCGAGGTCAAGGGTCCTGGAAATGCAGAGCAGCTGTGATGCTAAAATAGCTGCACATGCCAATGCTGTTGCCAAGCTTGAGGTTTGAATTAAAATGTGATTGAAAGTATGTTTGTTCTGCAATTCAACTTTCAGAGAAAAAAAGATAGCTTTAATTGCTTTTATGAATGATAATATGATCTTGATTTATGAACAAGAAATCAAATATAGAATTTCAGATTATAAACATCAAGTAATTTATGTCATCACGTGTTGACTGTTGAATTTTCCAGGAATTGTTTTCAAGGCATATTGTTATTTATTTGAATTCACATATTGAATATCTGATTTGAATGGTCTATAAAATACCAATCACATCTGCTGACCCTTGGAAATGCTACAACTAGGTTCTTTAAGGTTGCTTCCTTTTGTAACTTGCAATCTGTATTTTTTTTTCTATATTTGGTTGAATAGGAGCAACTCCATGAGAGAGAACAGACCATACATGACTTGGAAAGGAAAATGGAAGAGAATGATAGAGAACTGCATGCCATCAAAGTGGATAAAGAAGAGGTTATTCATTTTCTTATTCTGCTTTTGGTCTAGATTTGGTTTTCGTTTAAATTGAAGTGCGAGGTTTAGCAAGTCGTGTATAAATTAGCGATTCTTGGTTATCTTGGCAGTCCTGGAAATTTATGCCATGTAACAATTTCAATTAAGTATACTGTTGATTGCTAGAAGACATCAAGTTGCATTTTCTAAATATTCAGTATAGGGCTGCTCAAGAAGCCATCCTCTATAGGGATGAACAGTTGAGAGAAGCCCAGACTTGGATTTCACGTGTCCAGGAGATGGATGCTTTGCAGTCAAGTACAAACCATTCCTTACAGGTTGAGTTGCGAGAACGTACAGAACAATATAACCAGCTCTGGCATGGCTGTCAGAGACAGGTATGTGAGCTGTTAGTTTCTTGTTTACATGTTTCTTTCCTTGAATGAATAGATTTGGTGTCATTTTCAGCAATTTAAGTTTCCCTTGTTTGTGGTTGTTAATGTTAGTTTGCAGAGATGGAGAGACTTCATTTACATACAATACATCAGCTTCAACTTGAGTTGGCTGATGTTAGAGAGAGGAATGGTTCCTGTACTGATGAATCACATGTGTCCCAAAGAAAATCAAAAGATTTATCTCAATTTGTTCAAAATAAGGAACAACAAGTGGAATCTAATGGAAGTGGTGCAGAAAATGCTAATACTGCAGTCATTTCTACTGGAGCTTCAGACAATGTTCAATCGTTAGTTTCAGCTAGCAATGCACCAAATCCGGTAAGATTGCTGGCTTTTCTGAAGTGTCATTGCTGAATGGTGTTGGAATCTGAAATTTAATATTTATAACTATCCATATTATAGGTATACATCTTTCTTCATATGATAATTTATTTCATTACCAAAATTTGATACAACTATTTCTTTAGTTTTTTTAGTTGTCATCTCCCCTACCTCCCTCCCTCCCTCTACATTTTATCTAACTTATGGTTTGAGATTTTTGGAAGTTTTTAGTTGTAATGCTTAGGCTTTTATTTAATGGTCAATTTGTGATCTTTTTGTCTCGTCTATAACTTGCTTTATCTTTTTGTTCCTTGTGAATGTCCATAATCAGAATGACCATGTTCCAAGTGTTCCAACTGCTCCAGTTGGTATGTCTACATACTTCCCACCTGGGCAGGTGTCTGCCCTGCATTCTTTTATTACGAAACAACAGGGAGTTCGGCATTCTGTGGCATCTCATGTTGGACACTACACAATGCCAGATTCGTCATCCATCCAACAGTGGCAAAACCAAATGGTATGGTCAAACCTGTACATTATCAATTTTTCACAAGGTATTCTTTATTATATGTAATGGGTTTTCATCTGTTTTCCAGACTTCTTCAGAGGGTTTACAGGTGTCCGCACAGGATCATATTCCAACATCTGAACAAAAACTTGGCAGCTCAGATGTATCGAATGAATATGACACGTGGGCAAACCATTCGTACATGCTATCTAGAGCATGTAAGCAAAGGATCAGAGCTCTGTTCTGTGATATCATCATCTTCTGGGAAAGCACAGGTTCTTTAAATCAAAACCATTCCACTCAGTGAACTTGGTGTTGTTTTTATCAGTTATTGCAACTTACTGAGACCATTTCTTTTCAGGTTGTTCAGTCGGTAAATGCAAGTTACCCTGTGGACCCCTAGCCTGAACCAACCTTGCCACAAGTTTCTTCACAATTTCATGAGACATTAAGATTGAACTCTGAACCCAAGGTTTGCCAATTTGATTAGTCTTCAAGCATTGGGAATCTTTCTGTTCTAACCTCTAAACATTGTACTTGGACAGGAACAGAATATTCTGAACATGAATAATCATGTGTTGGAGGACCAAATTCCAACAACAGAGGAAACAAGTACTGCTGCTGCTGCCAGCCCGTCTCATGATACAGTCCATTCTGTTGATTTCTGTGATACAACAGTAAAAAATAGAACTGTTGCTTTTTTGCCTGAAAATCTGGTGTCAACTGGGCAGTCTAATTACTTGATATCAGCTAAGACTTCAGAGACAGCTCTGCTTGATGAAAGGTCATTGTTGGCATGCATTGTTCTCACGATTCCAAATGGTCACAGAATTCGGACCAGTTCCACGGTTGGTCTGCTAATAATTTTTCACAGATCAACTTACTGGTATTAGGTCCAGCACGAATGGGATTTGACTAGTATCTGTGAATTGCAGCTACCGAATAGGCTCGGGAAAATGCTCGCACCTTTACACTGGCATGATTACAAAAAGCTGTATGGAAAGCTGGATGACTTCGTAGCCGCTCACCCTGAGGTTTGTTTCTTGCAGTGTTTGCGTTTCTTTTTATAGGCATGCGGTTTATTCTTTCTGAAGATCTGAAATTGTGATTCCAGTTGTTTTTGATTGAGGGCGATTATATTCAGCTTCGAGAGGGAGCACAAGAGATAATAGCAGCCACTGCTGCTGTTGCCAAAGTTGCTGCAGCAGCTGCAGCCTCATCTCCTTACTCCCCAGTTTTGCCTTCTGTTGCTGTTACTCCAATGGCACAGCCTAATCGACTAAAGAAGGGTCTCCTATCAGCTGATTCCAACCATGCCAAGAATGAGAATGCTGCTTTCAAGGGGTATGCAGTCATCTCCAAAAATTCAGCTGATGATCATTCACAGCTATTAGGGACGAAGAATCAACATCCAAATGGAATCTCTTCTGGTGTGGCTGGAAATCTTTCAGATGTAAAAATATTGAGAAAACCTAATGGGGCAAATTTTGAGAGATCGAGTGCGACTAATGTTGAAAGCAAGGCCTCTGGTCTTGGAAGGTCTAATTCTAATTTTTCGGGAAAACAACGGGGCAGGTATGTGGCATAAAAACATGCAGACAGCTGAATCTGATGGTCATTTAAAAGTGTATGTTTTTATGCCTCTACTTATTAAGCTTAATTGTCTTGTTCCATGACAGGGCAACTGGGGCAGCATTGTCTTCTAGTAGATAGCGAGTCCATTACCTCAATTTAATTATCATTTGGTGGTTGCATCATATGTGCAGTTTCTGTTCTAGTAATGCCCTTTAACCAGTAATTATCGATTGCAACAAGCTAAATTTGAAGCATCTAATGTAATGAAGAAACTGTTATTGTGCACCATAGCATTAAATTTTATGTTTCAGCTTTGTGGGATTGATTGCATGTCTGAGGTGTATGGGGTGGTCTGAAATATGAGTAATATATGATGTTGCACTAAGCAGTTCTACATTCGTAGTGGTTTGTGAAATATTCGTGAAATATTCAAGTCAGAACCATGATAAAGTAAAAAATAGTCCTGTCCTTGTAGCATTATTAGAGGAGTTTCATAGCTTTTGTAATAATCATTCAACCGTAGTGACTTGAAGATTTACAGATTTCGCTTTGTTCCGACAGGATTACCGATTTGCAATGCCAAGTTGTGGGATACTGCAAGCATATTGGGACATGATATGTAGTTGAATGTATGTTTTTGGTATTGGTGATCAGCCAAATCTTTTGCATCCGAGAAAAATGTGGGATTGGATCAAGAGGAGCCTATTTAAATTGTTTTGCGCCGTCTGATTAGAAAAACACTGCATTTTGTTGTCATACTGAATTGACTTCAAGTTACAATTTCATAAACTCGACTTGACATAGATCATCCAGCACTTACCAGCCAATATCACACATGAGAATAGCATTCATCTCTAGATCATCCATTATGAAGCTAACACAGAGACATTTTATCCACACTCAGGAGTACACACAGCTGAAACCAAGTCACAAGGATTAAGCTGCTCTTGAAAACCTGTGCTTAATATTACCCAATACTTTATATTTCAATGTTGCATTTCATGCTTAACAATTCACATTTCAAGTGAAACTATAATCTTTACTTAAATCCAAGTAATTTCAACCAAGATTTCGCATCCATCAGTGGATTTTCAGGAACTAAGAGAATCAGAACTAACCCATTTCCAGTAATGCTTCCTTACAGACAAAGCTTTCTCCAATCCTTTTGCCCCATCAAAATCCTCATACTCTTCCTTCTCTTCAGTAACAAAATCTCCCTCAGGCAAGCCTTCCACCCACGCGTCCACCGAGTGCAAAACATAACGCGCCGGCAAACCCGGATACGACACCGAATTCCGCTCCTCCAGCTTCTTCCTATAAGATCCCGGCGCAATCCTCACGGCCCCAGAATCAACAACAACCGAACCAAGCTCCTCTTTTCACAGCACGAACAACGGCTTCTTCGGTGGTTTCATGGGGCCTCATTTTCTCGGACAATGGTCTGAACCGATCCCTAACGCTACCATCCGACAATTCCTGTCGAGATTCGACGAGGACGAGGTTATCTTTACCGAGTATACGAACCGTAACGACGTTAACAGTACGAAGTGGAGGGGACGAATCCAGAAGCGAAATCTCGCCTTCGGAGAGTTCCAGCCAGAGATTATGGACGTTTTTTGTTCCGGGTTTGACCCCCCATGAAGTCAGAGACTCAGAGGGCAACCGTGGCTTGAGCCAATCGGATAGAGCCCGTGGGGTTGGAAAGGCGGACCTGGAGTTAGACATGGTGGGTGTTTTGAGGAACCGCCGTGGGTTCGGGGGAAAAGGAAGGAACTTCGGGAAGAAAGTATGGTTCGTTTTGGGGGAAGAGAAGAGAAAAAGAAGGGAAATCGCTGTTAAGAACAGGTCAGGGAGAGTAGGCGTTGATTTGGTAAGACCCAAGTTTGGTTTAATGTTATTTTGGGGAATTTTCAATGATTCTGGCGTTCTTGACATGATAATGATGTGTTTATGTACGAGAAAGATGAGCTGCAATGGCTTGAAGATGATGATCAATGAGCATTTCCATTACAAGGAACAAAATTGGAACAAAAGAAACAAAGGGAAGGCTTGGGTTTTGCCTTGGAAAATAAGCGGTTGGAAATGGTGGAAGAATTTCAGGTGGATCAGATTATTCTTTGTCCGCTACATATTTTGTGGCATCATTCCTAAGACCTCACCATCACGGTTCAACTCGCGTTGCTCCTGTTTATGAGCCAATAGTTAGCCATGAATAGAAACATTTTGCGGAACACCTACATCTATATTTTTCTTACATTTTATAATTGTTGGTGGAAACAAATAAGTTGTTTCGATCCTTGACGGTTTATTCCTTTTGGTTTGGACAAAAAATGTTACTGATGTAAATATAATCGTTAACAGATATAAAGACGACATGTGAGAGGATATTGTTCTACATTAGAGATAAAAAGTATGAGAGAGAGAGATCCTCAATCATGATTAAGAGGTATTTATAGTGATTCTAGCTAATGATATTAAACTTAGGATCATTATGACTATTGTAGGTCATCAGACTAAATGAATATGGCTTTCAAATCTTAGATTTTGCTCTAATAGATCATGTTGATCTATTAGAGGTCTTGTCTTGCCTATGCAATGTGGTTGGTTGGAGGCCATGATACTTGTGTATGGAGGATAGAGGTTTCTTGGAGGCTCCGGTAAGTGGAAGGGTCTCTATGAAGATCTCGACTATCGGAGAGTTTGTAATTTTCAGAGATTATCTTTGATGGTATAACAAGTTGTCCCTCTAGTTGAAGGAATGTCATAAAATGGCTTAGTTCGAAACTTATGGTGAAAAGTATAATGGACACCTCTAGATTTGTTCAATAACAAAAGCATCTTTTTAGACGATCCTTATAGGTTGATTCTATTTTGTGTTGGTTAAGGAATCTCAATGTTCACGTTCAAGTGGAAGATTACAATCCTTATTGGGATGGTTAAGGACATGTTTACGTCTTAACATCTTATAATGGTAGTGGACAATTTCTTATTGTTCAGAAGCAGACATCTCGACTCTTTTAACCAAAAAAGAGATAATCCATCATATTTCATAGATGTCTAGATAATAAACAAAGACATCTTTATGTCAATAAACTGTTAAGAGCATTTTAAGGCTTGCGAAAGCATAGGACAATGGTCCTTGTTTAGTAGTAGAGGGTCTCGACGATATGATAAAGCGGAGAGCTCTCTACGTTGTGTTACTGGAAGGTATTAATCATGTAGCGGGAGGAGCACATCAAAGGAAGGCGGATTCTTTTTTATTTATTTTTCTCGATGTTCCATGTAATCTCTCTCGTGGTGAGGTTATGTCTCACGTGAAGGATTCGAGAGATATCAACATTTTGATGTTGCATAGGGTCGTCGAAGGCTTCTCATCCCTTTTTGTCCGATCATTGAGCATCAATAATGTTATTGTAGCAAAAGGTTTGAGTAGAGGTTTCTCTAAGCCCTCGGCCAAAGAGGAAGCATATCGTCACTCTTGGAGAGATCCGGTTGTCTAGTGGAGGCATATTTTCCTTGGTGAAACCAAAGGGGAAAGATCAACTCTCCCTTTATCAGGGAAAAGACATATCAATGCCACAACAGAGGCATCTCGGCACTCTTTGGAGGCAACTCCAAGCTATATCAGCAAGAGTGAGAGACATCCCTACATCAGTCGAACTTCTAGAGAAATCTCAATGATTCTGGGTGGAGGCATCTCGACACTCGTTAGAGTGGAGGCTCTCAACTCTTTCGGTCGAGTTTTAGGACGTAATCTTGTAATTTGCGTGAGGCATCTCAACATTTTTCGACTAGGTATAAGAGGGTACTCAGTCTGCAACAATGCACTGCTGTGAGTGCAGAGACATCTCAACGTGTACCATACATGATAGGTAAAATTGAGGCCTTTTTGTCGTGGTAAAAACAAGACAAAAGATATATGGACACTGTGACAGAGGCATCTCGACCCCTTGAGTAGATCCGTAATCATAAACTAAGGTAAATGCAACTCAATGCCCTCAGAAGTAACTCAAGATTCTACAGGTACGAAGGCAACTAAAAGTTCTACGGTTAACGTTACGAGGCTTCTTTATGTTCGGATGCAACTCACGGTTTTACTCTCTATTCAACTTCATTGGCCGTCATAACTAGGGATGGGTATGGGTCGGGTTTTTGGTTCACCCGACCAAAACAAGGTTTCACCCGACCCGACCCGACCCGAATATATGACTTAGAAACCCGACCCGACCCGAAATAATAAAAAATTTATTTTTATTCAATAAAAACAATGACGTAATTGAAAAAAATTATATATAGAGGGATATTATTGTAATTATTCCTAAATATATAAGGTAAAATTATATATTTTTTCGAGTCTGGTCGGGTCGGGTATTTTCACCTTAAACCAGAACTCGACCCGACCCGAATATCACACTTAAAAAAACTCGATCCGACCCGAACCTGATTTTTTTAAAAAAAAAATAATCCGGCCCGTTCGATTCAGATTAGATCAGAACCCGTCGGGTTCGGATTGAGTGCCCATCCCTAGTCATAACTTTGTCTTGGTCGCCTTCCTTTGATTATAACAACTTCCTCTAGCAATGGGCTTTTGCCATTGCGGCTATGTCTTTCTCATTGGTTTTGGGCAAGTGATGGTCCATTGAACCCTATACGCTGTCCCCAAATAGTAATGCTATATTTTGCAGCCCAAATAAAAAGCCTAACTTAAAGGTAAAGGTTCGATGGGTTTTATAAAGGCATAATAGTAAAAAAGAGTTAATCGCATCATATTTCCTCAATATAGAACCCTCATTCTAAATTGGTCTATAAACTTTTGAATATTCTAATTTTATTCTCAATCTTTGACCCTTATTCTAAATCAGTCCCTAAACTTTTAAACCTTCCAATTTCATCCTTAAATTCATCCAAATATGTAATTAATTTTAACTATAATTTAACCTGAACTTTATTTTTTTTGGGTTAAACTATGCATTTAGTACCTAAACTATCACTTCTGGTCCATTTTGGTACCTAAATTTTCAATTTTTTCAAAATCATATTAGCGTTTAGTCTTTTTTTTTCATTTTAGTACCGTTCCATTAAAAATTTAACGCATTTAGCACCTAAATTATTAATTTAGTCGTTTTAGTACTTAAACTTTCAAAAAAATTCAAAATTTAACATTAAATTTTGAATGGGTACTAAAATGAAACAAAAACTAAACTTTAGGTATGAATTTTAAAAAAATCAAAAGTTTAGATACTAAAACAGACCAAAGTAGTTTAAGTACTAAACGTATAATTTACCCTTATTTTTTCAAACATATAATAAAATAACTTGACCTAAAAATTTTATTATCGTGAAATGCAATTAATATATACATATAATTTAGGATGAAATTGAAATGTTAAAATGTTTGCAGACCAATTTAGAATGAATGATATAGTTTGGGAATGAAACTAAAATTTGAGGACTAATTTAGAATGATAGTCATAGTTTAAAGATGAAATTGTAACATTTAGAAGTTTAGGGACTAATTAAGAACAAAAATCATATTTTGAGGATGTATGATGCAATTAATTCTATTAAAACATTAATATTTTAAGGATTAAAATCATATTTAGAAGTTTTGGTTTAATTCCGGAATAGTTTTTATGATTGTGGTGACCTATTTTCTTTTTTTGTATTTTAATCCTTATTAAATTTTTCTAGCATTCAACCAAAAGGTCACCACAATCATAAAAACTATTCCGGAATTAAGGATGAACATGACA